GGACACACCCATGGAGTTTTAGCAACTCGTATCCCACTCAGTGAACTTCCCCTTGGACACAGGCGTAAGGGCCACAACCAGACAGAAGAGTGAACACACACAGAACAATGTGGTGCAGTGACAATAATGCCAAGCATTCCCACGCCAATCAACTGTATGTTATTTCTGCAGTGTCCTTTCTCTCCTCTCAAGGGTGTATACAGAGCTCTTGCTCCTCTTTGATCAGGATGTCTCTTGCTGTTTGTGAAAGCTTGGGTGGGGAGGAACACCTTTCTATATCCCCTGATCTAGAAGTTTGTTAAGAGTACTTTAAAATGCAATTGCTGGCTATGGACAGTGGTAGCATAAAACTGTTTCAAAAGAGGAGCTGCCACCCCTTGGGAGCATGTACTAGCTGTTTTGCTGTGGCTGTTTCCTCTGCATGATTCTGTAGTGGCCAAAATGAGTTAAACCACTACAAGTTCTATATTAAACGAAACAGAGTTGAAGATGTTAGTTTTGCTGCACTTAAATTGCTACTAGAATTTGCACACATAATTGCCTATTGACTGCATGTTATCACAACTGTGTACAAGTCCCAATTAGTGCAATTGTTTGGCATTCTTCTGTCCTAAAAAATAGATGTGGCCCTTTTAACCAGCTACTAGGCACTGAACAGGAAACCTGAGAAACACCGCTCTGCTCTCTTCTCCTACCCCCAACCCAAGATTCAAGCACACAGCTTTAGCATTTTCTATTCTCAACAACACTGTGAGTTCTACTATTTAAAGTTTAGGATTTACCTAAATACTTGCCTTTTAACTCCTAGCTCTGGCAATTTGCAGACCCCATCAATTCAACAGGAATTGAGATCCAATCTGGAGCACTATTTTGCCTGGGCGGAAAAAGGAGTTCTAGTTTGCACTGACCTCAGCTAGATAGGCCTACAATAAGAAATGTATGCAGCTACAATCAAACCCGCATAACTACCCACGTGGAAATTCTTATTCCAAAATAAGAACATCCACATGAGTAACACCAGTATGATTATGCTACAGTTATGCTGTTAAATTCCACCCCTTGGAGAAATCTTTTAGACAGCTGGCCAGAGAAGTAAACCCAAAGGTTTTTACAGAGCAAGAATATTCCAAAAATATTAGTCATGGGACATAAGTGCCTCTTCCAACACAAAAAAAAAAATCCTTCAACCCATTCCTGTCCCATACTGTGCCTTCTAATCAGCAAAGAAAAACTGCAAAAATAACATGTCATCGGTGCTCTAAAGGAGCCGCGTTAGCACAGCCAGATTCACTATGCTCTCCCTGTTCCTGATAGCAGATGAGCAACTGCTCAAACATTTGTTCATTCTTATTCTGCCATGAAGTCAGAGCAATTTAACCCTGTTTCTAAATATCTCTGTGCTTGTTTGCCAACAGATGTACAAAAAGGGAATTTTTCATGAACTCAATGAATCTGTTGATGGTACCAAGAGATATGTTCCCCACTTCACAGACAAATGAAATTCCTACTTATTGTTTGCCCCAATGCAAGTGGAACATGCTCCTAAAAATGAAAATCTGACTCTTGGGTCCAGTCTCTTGACTGGCTGTTATTCTGTAGAGCTAATTTAACAGCAAATACTTTAGCTGGGTATAGCAAGTATAGAACTAGCCAAAATCAAGTCGTTCTCAGATTGTGCTTTCTGAAATATTCTTCCCATTCCACTCCCCATTTCATTTGATTCTTAAAAGCAACTTTCCCTCTACTCTTCAGCTAAGAGAGGGAAACAAGTCCAACGTACTGAGCACTAGGAAAAGAAAGAGAGACACCAACACAAAAAACACACCAAGACATTTTAAGATGTTCTCTAGAAACCTGAAGTTTATTCATTAGAATTCAGTGAAAGGAACATTCATTTTAAAACACAGTAAATACATTAAAAAGTTTAAGAACCAGTAGCCATGAGGACAAGAAAGGGGCAAAAAGAAAAGAAAAGTGTGAACTCAACTAAAATATCTAAAAGGGGCAAGGGAGAAACCAACTGCCCTTGAGTGGATCAAGCTGTGCATAGCCTTCAAAGGTTCCAAGTTGTACTGAAATTATTTGTAGAAACATTTGGTTCTGCAACTGGCATCAAGGAGAGCCGAGGAAGACTTGGCCAATGGTTCACTTCTCTGTAAAGGACATATGCATCCCTCTATCCCTAGATTTACCCCAGCTGAGTTTTGTTCATTTATTTGCTGCTAGATGAGATAGAAGTGTGGAGGATGCACGGAAGAGGAACAAGTGACTTGGCACCTTGCTGGAATGTTAAAGAAAAGAGGGCACTCGATGATGCTTTGGAAGGAACTATCCTGCACTGGCAGGGAGACTATTTGGATACATTGATGGGTCTTCTCCTTCCCTAACTTGCAGGAGAATACAGCAGTGCAGAGGAGAGTGATCTCAGCAAACACTTAACTGCATGAGATTACACAGCTTCAAAATTAAGTTCAGGGAATGTTAAAATGAAGTGTTGGTCAAAACACCCCAGGAATGTTTGCAAATTAGATTTCCGCCCACTTTGCAATTCAGAAACTGAAGCAAAACCCATTTAAGAAAAAAAAAATAATGAAAAGGAACAGTCTGCTTAAGGAGTCATTTAATTAAAAGACACCAAAAAACCCTCATGCACAGCAAGCATCTGTGGCTGAATCACAGCTTTCCCTTTTTCATAATTTAGCTTTCACCACTTCATCTTTTGCACTCAGCTTGGAGACTGAACAGAAGTGAGTCAATTTCACTTCCTGTTTGAAAGCTCACTTCACTTTCTGATCCTCATACACCATTCTGCTGCTACTGAGAGTGGGTTTCCAAAACCTGACAGGGATGCACTTATGAACAACCTCAATTAAAACAAAAAAACTAAAGTTCCCTACAATGTATCAGGAACTATATTTCAGGCCCTAACTTATGGCAGTGCTCCTTTAAACTAAGAGCAGCCACTAAGTGAAAAATTCTGGGGCTCTTAAAATGAACAGCATAGTTACTATAATTAGGGACCTACTTAAATCACAGGGAGACTAAGGGTTTTTCACGGTCCACACCTGGCACGGAGAACCAATTTTGCACATTTCAGTGGTTCCATCCCTTGGTGCTGACTGGCAGAGGGCCTGGGGGAGTGGGGAGGGACGAGGGGGTGACTGCCATCTTGATTACTGGCTGCCCTTTGTCATCCTGTCCTCTGGCGCTGACTGGCAAAAAGGTGCCAGCAGGGAGGGAGAGACAATGGGGCAGCTGTCATGGTACCCCACCAGCCGGCACTTGCTCTCCCAGCAGCAAGGACCGCTGGCTTCCACTTGGGAGACAGCATTTTATTTTTAATTTTTTTGTTGTTGTTTTCACATATTCCATGAAATCCATGAAACTGCAAATGAAGTGGGCCCCTAACTATAATTGGTGAAGGTTTTCCTAGAACAGTGTTGAGAAGACAGCAGACCTTTGGGGCTGTTGAGGTATGAGACTAGTACAGGAGTTGATAGAGCAGAAGCAGAAGTCAGGAAATCCCTCTAGTCCAATTTTGATTGGAGACCAGATGAAAGAGGCTACCCTATAGCGACAGGGAACAGGAAAAACTTTTTGCACTAGGTAAGAAGCAGGCAGCAAAGATTGTTACTCCTGATGGGCTAAAGCAGGGCTGGCAATACCCTTGTAGCTCAGCCCGGCAGGGAGGACAGGACTGTGTAGATGCAGCAGCTGCTGCCTCCTTCACTTCCTCTTCTAGTAGTAGCAGCTTCGCTCCAGTGAGGAAAAGACCCACCTACTCTATTCTGTGGGTTTCTCTCTTCTCCAGTAAACCAGCTGGCAGCTAGCTACCCCATCATGCCCTTTCCAGAGGGGAGAGGGCCGCAAGCAGCAGTACAACACTGATGGCATCTGACTAGGGCCCCAGGTGAATATTCAAAATCCCAAGACTGACTCAACTAAAACCAGACTTTTGGTAGGAGCTTTTCCCAACAGTTTCAATTAAAATATCACAGGGCAACAAAGAACATGATTTCCACTCCAAGACAGGCAGTTACTTAATAAAATTCCCTTTCAGAAATCAGCTAAAAAAGGGTTCAAACAGAAACAAAACCCACATACACAAAAACAAACCCCCCTGATTTCTAAATTTAAAAAAATAGTCAACAATACTCTTGGAAAGTGATCAATACAGTCCACAAACTCAGATTCAAAACAAAACTAAGACAGCACTTGACAAGAGTGACAAACCAGTATTAAACAAACATTTTAGTAGTACCCACAGAAGGTGTGTGGGGGGGGGTTGGCAGGCTCCTGATCTTCAGAATAAGCCCTCAGTATAAAGTTGAATAGCACATGACACAAGGATTTTAGAAGCAAGATGGTTTCTTCATTGCACAGGTGGTGGCAGTGGTAGCAGCAGCATTTGCTTTTTCTCCATCGAAACTGTAAACCACACCATTTTAACATAAAATACACAAGTAAAACAACAGTCCATAAAATTTCTTCATGAATATAAAATGCAAAACTATACAAAAATAGATAAAATTGACCATTTTCATATGCATATAAAAATGCAATACAGCACAACTTGGTAGTCTGACCTGAATGTCAGTGGTTTAAAACTGCCATAGTTAGCCATGTGATAGCAAAACATTTTGTGCAAGTGCCACTGCTTGGTACAATCCTGCTATTTTTAATGCCTTGGCCAGACAATTCCTGACTTCTGACAGTTGATGACTGGCTCAGTAGACCCTACTCTTACTAAAATCTAAGCTGATACTTAGCAACTTGGTGCCAAAACGTGACTCCACGTTTAACCAGATAAAGACGAGATGACTTGATTCTGCAATGCGTTGAATGCTAACAGCTCTAACAGAAAAGACAGAGCGCTCTTACTAAGTTGCATTTTATTGGGAACCCAGGTCAACAGTTCTGGCCAAAGGGCTTAATTCAAACTGGTAAATGCTGTAGGTTTAAGAGCCCACACCAGAAACCCAAGCCTCGGAAGGCCGCGTAAGAGCTTTTGGGGAAGGTGCAGACCCTATGCATAGAAAAGCAGATGCATCCGCAGGGTCCATCCCTCCAATTTGACATGCATTTGGCCAATATTAACTGGATTAAAAAATCCTTAAGTGTTTAAGTCTTACTTTTAAAGAGAGGCTACTATGGCTGGTAAGTGATCAATTATACTACCAATTAATTAAGAGTAAGAGATGATTCTCAGTCTACCTCATCATGCCAAGATCTCTTTTCTCATGGAAGTGGGAAGGAGGAAGAAAGGAAAAGGGTAAATTGGTTTTAAACCTTTGAAAAATGGGGGATGGGGAAAGACAGATTTGTAATAGGACCACCAACTGCTTCAACTCTGCAGTTAGAGTGGTCTCCCTCAGGAAAATGGCAAGACCCACCAGCTCATACCCATAGTCTGCTCTGACACTGAATGAAGTCAGGAGCAGAAGCATACTCTGAAAACGTGTAGCAGGCTCCCACGCCCACAATGAAATAGGTCATCTTGAGATTCCATAATTGATTTAATTCCTCTCACTTTTACAACAGAACTTAAAGGGTTATTAAGGAAATACATCAGAATTTGAAACTTTCAGAAATGCCATCTGCTTTATGAACAAGCACTTAAGAAATTGCTGCTTGTCACTTCAACCCACCACAAGCTTTTTTACCTTCAGATAAAATCTATGACCCTTTTTACGATTTTAGTAGAAACATCAAAAAGTGTATCATCATTATGGAAGACCTGGTCTTATTTATCCCTTGATGGACAAACATTTTAGTAGCATTAGGAGATCTCATTGTGTAACACTTTCTTCCCAATTTGAATTAAACAAAACGTACTTTTCTTTTATCTTTGAGCTCATGGAGCAGAATATTTCAATAATCCTCCAAATTAATTAACACTTGCATATTTCAGAAATGCGTAACTTTTGTCAATGTCACGTATTTTCTCTGTTAAAGAGTCTAAATCACAGTAAGAAGAAAACCTTTGGTATGAAGTCAGATTATCAAGTCCTAACTGTATTGCTTTCACACATTAGTGTATTGAAACCGCTTGCATTAAGTCTTTCCATTACATACCTACAACCAAAATGCTTATTAGAGCCATGCATCTGTAACTGAACATTCTTTTTAGCACTGAGACACTAATGTTTCACCCAAACTTTGGCAAAGGCCACATCATTGATAAACAAAAACACAAAACAAAACCCCATCCCCACAAGATGCCTTTGGTGACATGCTCAAAAAAAGAATTCAGTAAGAGGCTGTTGCTTTAACCAAGACAAAAAGGTGACTATTGGGAATGCTTGCCTGTATTCTCTTTGCTCTTGTCAGCAGAAATTTATTTGTGACCTACAGCAGGTGAAGAAGTGGATCAGATCTATGAAGTTAGGATCTGGTTTGGAATGTGCCCCAAATTTAACTGTTGGAGTTAGTGCCATTTCTACTTGAGATTCTGGTGATTGATATTCTAGGCCCTGATTTAGGACAACTTAAAGGCTGCCTTCAATAGGATTTTATTCCCAGTTCAGAAAAGGAATGAGCCTGAAGCCAAGGTCGCTCCCTTTGCTAATTCTTTGCCTTTTCACGTAAGACTGTCAGATTGTAAAGCACCAAGGACACTGATTTAGTGCAGTAATGAATAAGCTCTCAGTTACAGATGGCCAGTTTAAGGACATCAGCAAATGAATTAATTACTGCAAGATATAAAAGAGAAGAGGCTTTGCTGTACCAGTGTGAATACTCTTGTCCTGTAGAAAGCCAAAGAAGAAAGCTAAACAGAGAGTTGGCCTTCATACAGTAAATTCCTGCACCTTTTAACCTGGCAGTAATAATTTGTCTGCCCATAGTCTCAGGGTTGAATTTGTCCCATGCAATCTTGTTTATTACAGTGGGGTTGTATAGTTGTGCAGTGTGCACTGAAGAATGGGACACAATGGGTCCTAGAGGGTAACACTCAGCAGTGCAACCAACACGGTAACACTGAAGAATTAAGATATAATACAGCGTATAAATACAGAACTAGGTGTTCTCTGTTCTTAGCTGTTTTGGTTTGTTTTTTTTGTAGTGAAGAGCCAAACAAAGAGCATGGCTATTGTTCTGTCCTTCAGTGCTCCTTCACATATGCACAGCAGCAGCCCCATGAAGGTGTCTTTTCCATATGACATATTAGACCCTCACGTGCCTCTTTCACCAGGGAGTCTGTATTTCATGCCTAACTACTAGTACCAATGCAATGATTGCAGAGATGTTCTCAGCTGTTTGCTAAGCCAGTGAAGAGTACAACTCTAAATCAGTATGGGACTGACTTATAGCCCAGGTAGGAAGAAACATTAAGACCCAGTCTACACTGCAATTCAGAACCCTGGTTGTAATTAGGTTATGGGCCAGAAGAACTGTAGCCAGGTTATCCATTCTGACCAGCATCTATACAGGGCTTGAAAATGGGTATCAGATGAAGTTGGTTCACAAGAGAAGTGACAGCTGTGTAACTTCACTATTCAAATCCTCCAAAAGATTTTGCAAAAGCCTCCAGGCAAAGGAAGACCCAATTTAAAAAACTGCAGTTATTTTTAAGCCATTAAAGAAAGTATTTTTGCATGACAGAAGCAGAAAAGGGCATTTTTAAATGCTCTGCAGTTCACCATTAACCAAATTAAGTCAAAGCATGTAACACTGATAGAAGCATAGGGACACTTAGCAAGTCTGTTAGGAAGAAGAGAAATCTATTTTAAGAAACCAAAATCATGTAATTCAAGACTGACAAGGACACGGAAGACTCCTTGGAGTCTGTGCTCCAAGAGCCTGAAGCAGGTGCCTCAGAGAGCTCTCTCATCCATGCAACCAAAGACCTCCTCAGAGCAAAGTGCATCTCTCCACAGCTTGCTTTCATTCCTCAACCTTTCCTGCAAGGTGTAGGAGCAAAAAACCTAGAAAAACAACAGATGAAGAAGAGTGGCAGTATATCCAGCTTTTTCATTTCCTCCAGGTGTGAGGAAGAGAAATTCTGAAGCCTAATTTAGGCTGTGTTACACCTCGTATTCCAATTAACAGAATACTCTCCTTGTATGCATTTATGCAAGAAAATAAAAATCCCTAACACAAAACTTCCTTTTGAAGAAAAGTAACAGCATCTGCAACTAAACAGCTACAGGCATGAGTCAATTTAGCTTATTTAAAAAACAAATATTCACGTTAAGGTGGGGGAGAGGAGGTTGGGGCAGGGAATGCACACAGGGAAGGTTCTACTCTATGAAGTGTGATCACTTCAAAAGGAATAAATGGGTGAACATTTTGTTCTTAAAGGGACATCATCAACATGAAATCTAGTCAATAAAAAAGTAGAGCTGGCTGAAAAATCAAAGCTCCTCATAGCAGGGGGAACTGGAGTGAAGGGGTGGAGGATTTTTTTTAAACCAAAATGAAAACATTTACAGGAACATTCTCATTTCGGCTGAAATTCCCTTCGCCTCCCGAACTTTCCTTTCTCCACTGGAAAGGAGCAGGAAAGGAAATCAAAACTTGCCAAAAGAATTCCAATTCCCCCCAACCCTTTTCTTTTAATGGACATTTTCAGAGAATTTATTTCCCTTTTCTTGACTATCGCCAATTAAGTCATTCCAGGTCTCTGAAGTAAGTCCCAGGATGATCTGTGATTTTACCACCACCGTCTACCTATTTTTCCTCTCTCATCCTTATCTCTGCATGAGTCACATAAACAGAGAGAAATGACTCCACAGTGGATAAAACTGAGAGAATATCAAGTGCTGTCCAATGCACAAAGCAAATAAATGAAGAAAATATTATTTATTACTCATCTTTCTTACTTTTCTGTTAAAACAGCTTCATATTTTAAAGAAAATTCAGGGGAAAAAAAGCTTTGATTTTTAGAAGCTGATGGTGTCCCTTTAATTAAAAGCTGCCAAAAACTAGCCTGATGTACTAAAGATTTGTCTGCTTCCAGATTTTTATTCCAGCAGTGACAGTGTTATGTACTGAGACTAGTATGCATTCTGCATTGTGTATTATATTCAACCGAACAGTGGTACATGCTGAACCAGGGCGTCTCAGTGGTAGTCTAGGAATCTAGGAGCTTGCTTGTACAAAACACACATAAAGCACCCAAAGCCGTGCAGAGTGCTAGCAGCACTGTCACTTTGCTGCACCCTACTTCAGCCGCAAGAGAAAAGAGTTCATCTTTGTTGGCCCAATTCGAAATTAAAAATCACTCCTGGAAGTTTGCCTTCTCCCTCCCTGAAAAGTGAACCCTAAACCCTACCCCCCTCACCCCTGTGTTGTTGGCTATTTGGCTACCGTTACATTCACTGTAGTGCTTTTACAGCTAATGGGCAGCGGGTTCCCATGCGAAGCTCTCCCTTTCAGCAGGTCGGCACTAGGGCTTCCATAATGCTCAGCAAAGCAGGCTGGGAGTTTTAAGGTCTCAGCGTTGTCATCGTGAAGCTGGGGTATTCCTTGAGTAACACCAACAGGTTTGCACTTTGCTGGTTTCTCAGGGGACTGAGTGAAACTGAAGCTCTGAGGTAAGTCAGTCCCTTTTTCTCCCAAAGGTAACACAAGAGCAAGCTTTTTGGCCATGTTTTCCCCATGGTACCTATAGGAGCTAGACACGACTTGGGACTGTCTCGTATCAATCTGCAGAGGTAAACTGGATGGCCTGACCATGTGTCTGGGGGACTGAAGCATTGGGTTATTGGGTTCCATATCCTGGGGCCTCCTGTCCAGAGTCTCCAAGGCATTGCTCCGTGCAAGGGACACAAATGGAGAATCCACTTCCAACTGCTCAGATGTATCCCAGTTGCTTTCTACGACAGCTGGAGCACAGCCCCATTCTGTCACCCCTCCAGAGGAACGCTCAGCATTGTACTGCACACACTGCAAAGCTGGCCACGCCAGAACACCATCAGCTTCTCTTCCATCTGAAGGAGAGGGAGGAGTGCTCTCCTTGCTTCTGTTCAGAGAGCTGACAAGGCTTAAGGCCATTTTTGGAGAGTTGCAAGTCTGCAAATTCAAACTCCAAGCTCTCAGTGTCAAGTGACCTGCTCCTTCTGTTGACGGAGAGAGGTGCTGGCATGGAAGGGCTCAATCCATGAAGGCGCAGGTGACGGGGAAGGCTGGCTACTCCCCAGTTGCAGCTCTGGAAAGAGCTGTGGGGATACCCTGGGAACATTCTCTCATCACATTCAGCAAAGGACTCCTTCTGCACATAGCTGTCATCAAAGGCCTCAAAGGATGCAGCAATGTCCTCATCTGTGTTCATCTCCAGGTGCTGCTCACATTCCCCCTCACCTTCCTGCTCCACATCGACAATATCAAAAGTGACCATGGTTGGAAGGACAGGAAGGTTCTGAGTGAAGGAAGAACCAGAGTCAGAGCTACCAAGGCTTTCAGAAAGGCTAGAAAACAGAGTCCCGCTGCTGGTGAACTCCACCAGAGCTTGAGAAAAGTTAACAGCATGCTCAGGTTCACATTCACTTTCTGTCTGGGGCTCTCTGGGGCTATTTTCCACACCACTGTGGTTCTCATTTTGCAAGCAGCCATCATGGTCATGTGTTCTGTAGCTGGGGTAGGTCACCGTTTTGGCTGGGGCTAATCCACTGTGGACAAGTCCTGCAAACACTGTATGATCCAGATCAGAATCAAACACAGAATTGTTTTTCATGAGCTCAATAAGGCAACTTCCTTGTGCTTTTTGGCCATTGCAATACTTCTCTGGATATAGTGTCCCTTGAAAATCCCTCCACTCTGAATTTTCAAGTCTGGACAGAGAAATCCCACTGTTTACACTTCTGTTTGAGGCTTGAGGACCAACTTGTTCACTTCCAAGGCAACTCTGATTTTTGCCAATTAAGTTGGCTGCTCTAGTTTTACATTCAATATATTGCTTTTCCCTGGCACATTTATCTTTGCTTGGAACATCCAGCCGTTTCAAGACCGGTTCCCTCTGCAACTCCCAATACAACAGCTGTTTCTGAATGGCAGCCAGCCTCTCTTCCTCAGTTTCCATCACTCTGTTTTTCTGCCCTGCCAGTTGCATCAGGTTCTTCTCAGCAGGGAGAGTGAAGTCCAAGAAGCAGCTGAAGATGTCTGGATGAGATGCTTTGCCCTCGAATAAGGATTCATCCCCCTGGGAGGGGCTCATCAAGGTGTCATCAGGCTCATAAAACTCATAAAGTGCATCACCACTATAACTGTCTCTTGGGAGACGGTCCTTCTTGCCTTCACCAAGCCCATCCCCAGCTTCATCCTCTGGACCAGGTGTGGTAGAGTCATAATAACCCTCATCGCTATTAGGGGCAGATTCTTGCTGGTCACTCTGTGGTGTTAAGAGCTCTACGTCATCTACCACCCCACCAGTGTATGGGTGGGCTCCCTCCATGCACAAGCCATGAGCTTCCAGCTTGCTATTCACTCCCTGTGGCTCATGACTGTTCATGAGATGAGGAAGACTGGCTTCATAGCTACTGTCCACCTCAGTGGTTCCTTCCCACATCTGATGGAGGTACTCCTCTATCTCCTCAGGCATGGCCATCTCCTCCCCTCCTCCCTGGTACGTGACAAGACATGAACTCCTCTTGGCAGCATCTCTGCTGCGCTCCACAGAGATTGTGCTCTCAGCAATGCTCTCAATATCTGGCTCGGCAATGATGTCTCCACACCCAGTGAGCGAATCGAAACTTTTAAGGGAAGTGACATCCCCAAACATCAAGCTGAGCTGATCTCCTGAGTGTTCAGATGGGGGATCATTTTCTATGTAATCTGAATGGAGGACATCAGGAAGGCTGCAGCCTGGCTCTGCACAAACAATAGCCTCTACCTCAGATTTCATATCTAGAACACAGTCTTTGCTCACAGGCGCTACTGCTCCACTGCCTTCCAAGCTACATTTCTCAGCTACCAGCCACTCTGACTCAGTGGCTTCTCTAAGGCTGGATGACAGGCAGCAGTTTCCAACCAAGTTTCCAGTGCATGCTGCAGAAAGAGGGTCTCCCCTTGAACTCTCCACCTCAGAGGCTCGCTGGGGTTCAGCCCCTGTTCCTTGTGTTTTGCTAGTTTGCTCTCCATCTCTAACCTCTCCAACCCACTCATGTGGCCCCGCCTTTTCAGGCTCAGCAGTTTTGTTCTTTCTGTGTCGCCGGATACTGTTAAAAAGCCCCTTCAGTCCTTTCTTGGGCCTAGGCAAAGACAATGATTTGTCCCCGTTGGACTTCTTCTCAAAACCTTCTGTGCTCCCTGGTGGAGAGCTCTCCCGCCTGCTGAAATCAAACCTGAAGCTGGCATCTATTGCTGTGTGAGCACTTTGAGAGCTCGGCAGCTGGCACGGGTGTGAGTTTGTGCCCCCACTCAAGGGACCCTCCAAATGCCCCCCTCTGCCATCTTCGCATGCAACATCGCTGATCCCGTCATGCGTCTTACTCTTACTGAGACCCTTTTTGGAAGCTCCCTTCCCTTGGCCTTTGGTTTTTCCTCCAAAGAAGCTTGGTAGGGTGCATATGCTCCTCTTCCCCCCAAACAGCTTGAAAGCAGTCTTTTTCAGCTTGCCAGGGGGCACTTGCTGCTGCTGTTGTTCCTGAGCTGCAGCAGAAGCATCGCTCCGCTCAGACAGACAGTCAGCTGCTCCATTCTCCTCCTGCTGCAGGGGGTCACCTCCCTCAAGGTGCCTACAGACCACAGATGGAGTGCTGGTTCTGCCTGCCTCCTCTGTGCAGCTTGTTTCCATGGCAGCTGTTAGGCCCAGGTGTATTTAGCTGAAAACCAAGACCCTGACAGCAGAATCTTCTTCAGAGCATGTGGACCAAAGCATGGTAATTGATCTAAAGTGGAGAGAGAGAGAGAGAGAGAGAGGGAGAGAGAGAAGAGAAACACAAAATCAGTGCTTGGCTTGGAAATAATCTGAATAGATGCAACAAGAGCTTGGGCACATTCACAACAAGAGCTGAAACACTAACTAGTGAGACCACCCCAACCGACTTTGTATATTACTTCCTTTTGTTCTTACTCCTCGGATGAATATAATGGCAACGATGACTGGTGGGATGCTAGCGTGGTAAGCCTCTGTTTCATCCATACCACAGCAGTACTGTCTCTTCAGTTTGAACAGCTGTGAGATGGTATTTGGCATATAAGAAGGTTTGCACTCTCCGATTCATTCACCTTGCTTCTAGGCTCCAAGCTGTCAGCCAGGCCTAGTCGGAAGGTGGGTGGGTAGGAGTGTGTCCATATGTGAATACACACGTATTCGTCTCCACAAAGAAGTGGACTGACTCTCCAGACTCATTTCACCATGAAAAATGTTCCAGTATCCTCTGGCTGTACCTTTTATTAAATATTTACACAATGAACCAAATCAATAAGCAATCCTTAACAATTATGCTGCACATGTGAGTAAAGGGAACATTTTTTGTACTAGATTTCAGTTGTTTCTAAAACATCTTTCAGAAGAGTGAAAATTGTATTAAAAAGCAGTTCAATACAAACCTCCCTGATGAGATTAGCTCAGGAACACCAGAGAAAGGTTTTAATCTGATGCTGGCTTGACATCAATAAAAAAAAGATATCTTTTGCAGGGGTGAGAATGGGAGAGAGAATAAATCCAATGAAAATTGTAATGCACTGCTGGCTTCTTCTGCCTGCAGCTTAGAATTTTTCTGGTATGAGGCCAGAAAAGCTTTTCATGGAGTTTAAATAAAGATCTTATATGACAAACACACCCAAAACATGGGCTCTTCATTGCTGTGACTCAAGGGCAAAACCTGAGAAGAAAGATTTGTTCTCAAGTCTTTGGGGAATCTGGGCCTGGAGAATATCAGAATGTTTATTTGCTTCTTTTATTAATGACAACCTTGGTGTGTTCACCCTGCTGACAAAAATTAGCAGTTAAGAAAACAGATGGTGACAGCCCGTAATTATATTAAAATAATGGTTACTAGAACATTGTAGACCAAAGCCAGCTATTTGTAACATTGAACTCTTCTCCCCCTACTACTATAGACTCTGGCAGGCAAGGACAGTATGTCAGGATAGACAGGCATTCATACAGACACTGAAAGTACAGGCAAAGGCACAGACCCCTTTAACATGCCTCTACACAGGCATACCCCTTCCGTACAACAGACCAATACTTCTACAGTATTAAAGCTTTTAAGCAGCCATTAAGCAGTATTTCTAGCTGTGCTGTGTGACCTTGGACAATTCAACTGCTCTGCTCCTCAGGTTCATCCTGCTGATGGAGGGGGAAAGTGGGATGAGGGGGAAGGAATTATATCTATATGCCTATCTGGCTAGTTTTATGGATACCTTTAAAGATACTCAATAGGAAAGCACGGTTTTATGACCTATACAGAACAGCCACATACCACCCAATCTAGAAGCTTGTCAAGTGACAAGCAAATGCTTTGAAGTCAGAGGTCACAAAAGGAAGTTGTGATTAACAACATTATTAGGTTGCAAGATAATGCTCTTTCCTCCCTTTTAACCCCTGACCAATGCCCAACTACCAAACAGGAATGGAAAGGGTGGAGTGAAATTTAAAGAGACAACTTCGTTTTCCAGAGGCTAAGTCTTGTCAAAACATATACCATTTTCCCCTTCAGACCTATCACACCCCAACCATGCATTGCAGTTAGCTCAGGAATCCTCCAAGGCAACCACAGGACCTCCGATTCTGAAGTCTTGGTGGTTTGAAGGAGGAGGGGGAGAAGAGAGAAAGCTAAGTAGTAATAGTGTATTGACTCAAATATAACACAAGATTGTCCCCCACAATCAGCATGCTGGGGAGGGAGGGGGGGGGGATGCCCCATGTCTTACAGTTGCATGCAAAGAGGAGGGGGGAGCAGGCAGCTGCTGTAGCTCTGACTCTGGCCCTAAGCCTGGGTTGGGGCCAGGATCAGACCCACAGAAGCTTCCAACCCCTCCAATTCCCCTCTGCAGCTTCTGCCCCCCCTCTCCCCCCAAACCCTTCCCTCCCCATTGCTGTCAGGCACAGCTCAGCTCCCGTCCCAGCCACTGCTTTCCCTGCTGTAGCAGTGGGAAGGGGAAGCAGTGGGGCAGAGAGGAAGAGTCAAGACACTCCTCTAATACTCAGATTCTGGAAAACTATACCAAATTTATTAATTTTCTATACGTGGAAGCTAAGTATGAGGGGGGTTGTCTTATAGTCAGGGTCATCTTATACTTGAGTAAATATGGTATTAATAATACCCAGCTTGCTCAAAGGGAAAGAAAAAGCTATGGCAAAGGGTATATGCCTCTTGCAATGAGCAATTTCTATTGAAAAGGTGGCTGCTCAGTCACCAGTCCTCTGAAGAACAACAAATTGATCAAAACTCTAGGCTCAGATTTAAGGCCTTCTGAAGTGCAATTAGGGATGGTGGTGATTGTGCAATCAGTTCCTGGATAGAAGCCACCTCTACAGCTCTGATACTCAAAAGAACAAAAGGGACCTTTTATCCAATTTAAAGCTCATGAAAGCAGTTGGCAAAATCATCATCTAATCTCAACCGAGATATTAGATCAGCCTTAAACCAACTCTAAACCTCATCTGGATATGAAAGGTTGAATGCCTTAGCAGCTTGTTTTCACAGAAGAAAAAAAAAGACTCCACCTAAATCTCTGTTGGCAACTCCCTCAATTTTAAAGCCCTATCTTATAATTAGGTAAGAAAACCATCTTCCATTTAGGAAAGAAAAAAATAAAGGAGTTTCTAGTCCTCATCACTGTGAAGTAAATCTTGAAAACCCAACTCAAATGTACCCTTTAGGCTCAATAATCAAATATACAGAAGTCATTTAAGCACAAAAAACTTCCAGAAAGGCCTATAAGTATCTCAGGCAGACAAGGTTCCTTGGGTGAATTTGATATCTTTTATTAGACAGGAACCTTGTCTGCCTATGTCCTTAGACCAACACCGCTACAACCTAAACCCCTGCAACATATAAGTATCTCATGATTTTTAACATTTTTACCTTAACTAGCAGATTAAAATTGACCCAAGTTGCCTCAAATAAGTCCCAGTTAAAAAAATAACTTTTTTCACTAGAATTCTGCTTCATATTAGATCATCTGGGAAGGCTACTTCAAGAACACAACTTAATGAAAAAGTCCCTTGGGGCTGACAACATTGCTAGGAAAATGTTCCAGTCTTACAATAAAATATATTTTCCTGTTGCAAGTGGCACAGAAGCAACATTTAAAAAAAAAAAGAAAAGAATAAGAAACCTTGCAAAAATAAAGAAAGAAAAGCATTATAAAAGTTCGTTTTGGCGCTCTCAGTACTGAGATCAACTCTCACCCGCAACTGTAACCACAGGGATATTTATAGACACTAGAAAAATATGATTAGCAGGGACAAAAATATTTACAGAGAAAGGGAATAGGAAAAGCAACAGCAAACATGCTGACAAAAAGCACCTCATCTGCCATGTGCACTGGGCTTTTTTCAGCCTAGATCTGTTTATCCTAGAGTGGAATAAACTCAGCCACAGTCATCAAGAGTAACTCATTCAAAGTAAAATGGTAGCTTAAAACACCAGAAACTGCCTGAAGATCTCTGTAGTAGTCATACCAGCACTGCTACCATGGATGAAAGTGTACTGATGGTAGAAATAGTGTTAGGGCTGGTAACAGGAACGTAAATCTCATGTATCCCATCATAAGGAATGGCTTTATTAATACTTAATGGGGGAGATCATCTAAATCTTACCTACTTTAACTGGAGTGTTCTAATTTTCCAAATTATTTGTACAAAAGTATCTAGAAACCCCCTTCATGAAAGGGTCCTCACTGGACAAAGCAAGTCTCTATAGCTCTCTAGTATTTCCCATCCACTATGTAGAAAACAATTTTCTTTCTCCTACAGCACAGAAAGAAACAAGGAAAGTGTTACCCTTATAGGTGAACTTGTTTGATCATGCTGCAACCGAGAAAAATGTCCTTATACAGATGCTCCTAACTGTGGCAAAGATCCACAGTCAACAGAGCAAGCACAGGCAACCTTTTTCAGCTGAAGCCAGAATGACCCCACCCCAGGTTAGAGGCAAGTGGATGGGCAGGCACCCTAGCACTCAGCCATTGCTGCTTGTCCCTACAGGGGCACATGGTGAACACCCACAGCCAAAGCCTTCTGCCACCAAATGATGCAGAATTCCCGCATCCGTTGGTTGGATCCAGTCTGCAAGCCCCAGATCTAGAGTGCAGACACACCCTTAACTACAGTGGCAAGTTGCAAAAGATTTTTTTTCTCCCAATTTTTGCAAAGAAAGTGCCTCTGTCAGTGGTGAGGGATCAAGCTGGGCTCTTAGAGCTTTGCTAGGAAAGTTAAAAAATTAATCCAGGCTTGCTTATTTTGATAGCTGTGATGTTTGAAAGGTAAGGAAAGCTCCCTGCCTCTCTGCACCCCAGAGGCTCAAGAAGATGTCACCCATTTTACTTCTTTAATACATCACATCTTAGCTTGTCAAATCAGTCTCCTTCATGTAAAATGACACTTTCTATAGCAAACAGGTCTGCTGTAGCCATTCATTATATAGCAGCAGATTATTAGCAATGATCCCGGTTTTGTTTCCTGAGGAAAAATATGCATTTTCCCTTTTAAAAGGAGAAAAATGCAGATTTTCCCTTTTAAAGCCAAAAACTACAGGTTTCCCCTTCTCCACCGGCTGGCAGAGTTCCAGCCTGCAAGAAGCTGCTTGCAAAAAGGGCACAAAACCCTAAGCCCTGTCCAGAGCGGGAGATGAAGTGGGCACGGCCTGAGAATCTGAGACCAGCCACTGCTGGCTCACACTCACTTTGCCTCCTGCAGTCTTTGGGGTAAACAGGGCCTGGGGACAACTGGGGGCCCTCTCTGACAGGGCTGGGGTGGCAGAGGGCTGAGGGTTGGGCAAGAGGGGGCTAGCAATGTCCTGGTTCCTGTACAGCCCCTAGGCCTGATTTTGCAGGGTCTGGGGCCCACTGATTGGCAGGGCAAGTGGGATGAAGGAGGGGAGGGACAGGAGGGGAAGTGGGAAGGGGACGCAGCAGGGTTCCATCTAGGGGGTCAGCTAGAGTCTTCCCCAGCTGCCTTTTAGCCCCCACCAAGCAGGGACCACTGTTGCCTGCCTGCTGCCCCCATCCAAGTGCAGGTTCCCAGTGAAGAACTTGCAATAAGCAAGGATTCACACTCAGAGGATGACCAATTAATTCTCCCAACTGCCAGGGAGGGAAGACTACCATCATCCCTACCTTATAAATGAGACACGATGAATTAAGGAATTTCTCAAAGCTGCAAAGGAATCTATATCAAAGTAAAGATAAGAACCTAAAACAGTGGTGGACAAAATACAGCCCGTGGGCTGGATTCGGCCTGCAAACTGATTACATCTGGCACGCAGGTCAGCAGCTGCAAAATCATAAGATCCAGCCCATAGGGAGCTGGCAGCTCCAGCTGCGGCATAGTGATGGGCAGGCGGGCACATCCCAGCCCCATCCACAGCTGCCCCGCACACCAAAAGCAGCGCTGGGTACACACTTGCATGAGCTGTGGATGCTGTCTGCAAGTTCCTGCCGGGGACTGGGGTGACTGCCTGGGACCACACTTGACACAGCATTGTTACCTGCAGACCCAGGAGGACACCCTGATCCCCAGTAGGAACCAGCTGCCTGCATCCACAGCTGATGCCAGTGCCCGCTTGGTGCTACTTCCAACGCACAGGCTGGCAGCTGGTGTAAGCTGCGGGACAATGCTGGAGGTGCAGGACAGTGGGGGTGGGGGAAGGTGGAAAGAGAGGTGGTCCTGCCCATGATGAGCAGCAAAAGCAGGACCCAGTAGCAGGCACACACACTGCTTCCAGGGCCCTTCTGGCTGTAGCTGCCCAGAGCCTGTGCCGGGGGTCCCTGCCCACTGCTGCCACACCGCACCACCTCCAGGCTGCCCCAGGCCCATGGGGTGGTGGCACTGGCAGTGGGGAAGAATCACAGGGCAGCCCCAGCCAAAAGGGCCCTAAAAGCTTGTTGAATGAGCTTTAGTTAAAGCACCCCCATGCCATTTTTTAAGCATGGGGATGCTAATACATAAGATGCTGCAGCACGGTAATTACCATGCTCCTGCAGACTCGATTAATCAAGCCTACTCCGACGTGCTATGGTACATCGGAGCAGCATCACTGCTTGTGTACAGGCGCCCTTAGAGACTAATTCAGAGAGACCTACAAGGTACCACTGTGTCCTGCCTTCTGCCTGACTTCAGACTAACACTTCTAACTACCTTTTTCCATCCTAGAGTTAAAGGAGTGCTATTTCTCTACGGTGTGTGAAAATAAGTTTTATCAGTTATACGGATACAACTCCATTACCGCTGCAGTTTTTACAAGTATGCATATCTTTGATAATGAAGCAAATGTATGTCACAACTTTGTTGATCAACACAGTTAGCTTATATGTAGACCAGGCCTCACAATCCTAAAATAAACTTCCATGAGGACCCCACATGTAAAAAGACAATTCAGTTACATAAAGAGCACTTAATCATGCTCCAATTTTCATTTAAAACAACTGTTTCTCACTCAGAAGTGATGAAATGCAGCAACATCACCCCGAGCTCACAGACTGTTCAGAAAGCTGGGATCCCTTTAATCTCATTTGTGATACTGCTCTGAACCCCATCAAGGATAGTTTGAAATGCCAACACTTAATTATTTCACTGCTGACCTTTTTCTCCATCAGAGTGGAATGTAGCAGCAGATACAAGAGAAGGAGTTAATAGGGCAGGAACTAGCAGCCAGGATTTTTTGGAAAAGATGGAGAAAATGAGGAGTTTAAACCCTACAAGTCCTGCCCACCCCAAAGGGGGGAGAAAGGAGAGAGACGGCTCCTCCACAGTACCAAAGAACTTCCTTTTTCACCTGGTTGCCAAACACCCAAAAACAAGTACCCTCCAACCCTCCAGGGGGACCACAACAACTGAATTTGATGGCAAAACAAATTAGATATGCCAGACTGATTATACCTAGAGACCTACCTAAATCACTGCAAGACAAAGGGTTTTTCACAGCCCCCTCATGGTGCGCAGAGCCAATTTTTGCAAGCATTTCACTGCAGCCCTGATTTCACTGATTGGCAGAGAGGACCCGGGGGGGGGGGGGAAAGAGAGGACAAGGGGGTGGCCATCATCTTGATTGCTGCTGGCTGCCCTGCCTCTCAGCCCTGACTGGCAGAGCGGCCCTGGAGGGGGGAGAAGGAATGAGGGGGTGGCCACTATCTTGTCTGCTGCCCTTAGTGCTGCCCCACCAGCCAGTGCCTTCTCCTCCAAGCAGTGAGGACCACTGGGGAGCCAACACTTAATAAAAATAAAGGTGGGGCTTTTTGTTGATCTTATGGATTTTGCAGACAATCCTGGATTTTGTGGCTTCTGTGAAATCCATGAAACCGCAAATTAAGTAGGTCCCTAATTTTACCATATTAGGATACAGCAAACAGCAAGGCGGGAAGGGCAGAAAGAGATAGGGATTCAGGAGGCGGGGGTTAGGGCTGGAAAGCAAGAGGCAGAGCCGAATATTTCTGGACATCTCTCCATATAAATTAAATCCAGCCTACTCCACAGGACATAGGGCTTTGTGCATGCTCATGCAAGAGACAGATTAGGCGCTCTATGTGACAGACAAAAATATCACTCCCCCCCACTCCAATAAATCAGACACAAATTCCAGAAGCAGTGTGCAAAGCAACAGCACATTACAGAGATTATTTATTTGCGCCATTAACGCTTTGAGAGACACTCTCGTAGGGGTCGATACTGACAGATGTTAACCTGCTAAAACATGCTTCCACAAGACCTAAAATAAACTGTTGCATTAGTTACCTTCATTAATAAACTCTGAAAACCTCTTGCAATAGAAAATGTGTTGGAGTACCAGAGTATTACCAACCCTTCATAAAACTACCTCCAAAGGGACAACTTAAAACATTATAATCTAAATAAGTTTGATATCACTATATCTGCCTTGCTTAGAGGCAGTTTCCCCCCTAGTATCATCAGTTACATCACTATAAAAGGGGTCTTAACCATCTTTAACTAGAATAGCTATTTCCAGAAGGGTTCAACTGGTCTAGCATCTGCAAAGGGCGTTTTATTGCTTTAAGCTATCTTGGTATACTGGTAATTAAAGTGCTACATCTTGTGGATTTAGACACGGCCTTACTTGCCTGAGGACTACGCCTGCATCTCAGACAGACATTTGTCATCTGTTAGTTATAAAACAAATGTTACGACTGATGTTTTTTTTCTTTTTAAAAGAGACATACCAAGTCTCTCCAGGAAGTTCCTGAGATGCCAGGACAGTGGTCTGCCTTGTCATATAATGCCCTGGCTACAGTTTAGATATGTGTTCCCTCTAAAACAATAAGATCAAAATTGTCTTCTAAATGAAACCTATATTGCTTCCAAAGAGAATGTTAGAAATAAACCTATATTGGAAAAGAAGGGAAAAATGCAGATTGGATGGCTCAGGGGGGAAGAAACAAGACCTTCCAACTCCTGCTTATGGATTCAGCCCTGTTTGGTTGTGATGGGATGGAATTACAAACAAAGCACAGTGTTGTGGCCTTACATGAATGAGTGGTGGGGGGCTTCTGTCCAATTCCCACAAGGTAAGTGCCCATCAAAAAGCCACTTGCAGTACCTGGGCCCTGGTCTAGCATCTCAGTATCAGCGAAGTCAGAGATAGGAACAGTGAACTTCCCCCAGATCCTGACCACAGTGGGAAGTAGGTTGTTGGGTGGGGTTTCAGTTAAGTTCACTGTCCATGTTATGTGTAAACAGAAAAATCCAATCAAAGCAGCTTTCAGCCTAGCAATTTCCCAAGCATTAAAATGCACTTGTTTTAAAAAAGCCAACTATTTCATGTTCATAATGTTTTAGCATCAGACAGGTGAGGATGAGGAAAAAACCCCACGAAAAACAAGAGTTCCTCTTGCTGCCTCCCAGGCTCCGATCTCCACCCCCAAAGCTGGTTTTATTTATCTATCCTGATATCTATCACCTGGCTGAAGGGGAATTGAGAACACCCATTAACTCATGGATCTCTTTAAAGGTAAGAGAGGAAGCAAACCTCAAGAGTTAAGTCACATGTCATCTACTCTTGCTTACACTCTACTCATTTACATCACACTGTAGTTGCAAGTAGTAAGCATGTTACATTTGTGAGTGAATATTTTTACAAGCATAGTATAAATGTAACAGCTATTCCTGAAGAGCTCCCAACGCCTCCATTAGTCTGCTACAGAACTGGGAAGCAGATTCCTCCTACATATGCATCCCTGCCTCTCCCCATTCACAACCTCCTAATGCATGGCTTCTGTGTCTGTTCTCTGCTGTTCAGTGTGGTTTGCATAAAGGTCAGAAGACCAAGTAAAACAATCCCGTGTCCTTCCCACAATCACTTAAAGAAGCAAAAATCAGAAAAGAATCATTACAATAAAAGCAAGAAAACCCCAAATCCAGTAAGTTTCAAATCAAAGCCAGGGATCTGGATATCCAGTACTTTGGATCTCAAATGAACTACTTGGATCCCATTAATAGCAAACAGAAATACAAACAAACAACAAAATGACTGTCAAGTAACTTAACTCCTACACAAGCTAAAAACGTAATACACAGGCTTCTATATATGATCCCAGAAAGTACAAAATCAACATTAACTGAGGAACTCAATGAAATATTCAGTTAATATGCAGGACCTGGCAGCTAAAAAAGTAATACACAGGCTTCTATATATGATCATGCCCAGAAAGTACAAAATCAACATTAACTGAGGAACTCAATGAAATATTCAGTTAATATGCAGGACCTGGCACAGTGCACACTTTATTTAAAAATACTGTATTCTTGTCCTTGCTGGTGACACCTAATTTTGGCAAAAGAGAATGTTGTTTGGAGCTAAATTCAGTATTAGAAGCCACTTTGAAGTATCAGTTGAGAAGTACAATGGGACACACGTCCCAAAGAGGTTTGGAAACATGTCTGAGTTAACAACAAAACTTAAATCAACCCTTTTTTTGTTTTTTTCCTCTTCCTGGCCTGCAGGCTTTTATACAACTTTGAGCCCAAACTTAGCAGGCCTCAAGCAAGGTCTTCCACCTGCTCTGGTCATATAGTGAGGATACACACTGAGCTCGCAAACACCTACCCTTTATCTGATATATTAGTCATCAAAGCAAACAATTTTGTGGCATCATGTCAGCCAGATGGTCTCAGGAACACTAAAATGAGCAACAGCTTCAAATGGTTCAATCCTAACAAAAAAAAGATTGGGGTGGGGGTGGGGAAAGGGCTTAAAACAAGCAAAGCAGCTTATAATCAGCCTATTTCATAGAACAGTCGAGAAGAAGCAGACTTCACTCTGCGGTGAACTGAAGAAAGAGCTTATCAAGGCTTTGACAACCAGCAAAGATGGGCAGCATCTACTTGGCTTAGTTCAAATTATATGAATTGCTCCACTATAGCCTGCAAAACAACCATGTGTATATATATGCTGTCTCCTTCTCAGCAACAAAATAAGACAGAACGGCCCATCTTGGTTCCTAGCAGTCTGGCAAAACCTTAAAGTTTCTCATCCCATCACCAGGGTCCCTCTACAATTTACCTGGTAGCCCAAAGCATTAGGAACCACATTTAGCTCTAGCAAAAACAGGCACAACTGTCCTTGTTGTCAACAAAGTAAAGTCCTGCTCATATCAACACTGAGTTTGATGCTACAAACCATGAAAATTCCTAAATTCTTGAGGTTACACATTACACATCATAGGATACAAATACGGAGGCCAAGATTTGCCTTAGATGTTTGCATTGCTACAATATTTTGACATGTTTTCTTCCTTCCAAAGAGAAGTTGGAGGACAACATTATTTTGTTGAATTTTTAGCATTTAAATGTGGGTACCCGACTAGGAACGACTGGTACAGATAATCAACTTGGTAGGAAGTGTCAGAACTACCACTGTCAGTGAAAAGTCCCCATCTTCCGAAGTGGCATGCAATGAAGTCGGGTGACTACCGTCAGAATTATTACCTGAAATGTGGGCACTAACTCCCCCTTCCAGAGGACATTACAGCTGGTCTATAGGAAAGCATTTAAGCAGAACATGAACTATAGTGTCTTTAAACAAGAGTCCAATAAATCTGATATTTCTGCAAGCGAATTTCAGGTCACCCTCCCAATTTAGACATTGCTCTAAACAAGAGGACCTGGCCATTTTTTTCAACCCAGCATCTGAAAATTAAAAGTAGTGGTTTGCCTCCATGAGTCACTCTGCTAAGCACTTGAGATCAAGTTTGACCGTTAGAAACCCAAGACTGGAAAGGGCCTTTTGGGCCACAGAGTCTAGTCCCCTTGCATTTATAGGCGATCCTACCGTGAAGGAGTCCCCACCAAATCACCACTTCAAACCTTCTCCCACAATGACAAGGAACAGTGTCAGAAAGAGACGCTGAAATATTTTAGAGAATTAACTCAGTCAGGAGAAATAGACAAGAAAGCAGAACAATGATATTTAAATATTAGCCTGTGGAATCAAAAGCAAGCATGTTAATAAGTGTTTACATGGGACAAGTTTAAGGGGGAAGGAAACTTGCGCACTCATTGCAGTACTGGCAAGTCAGGCAGACAGGGCTTCTTTTTCCAAATCAGAGAGGCTCATTCAGTGCTCAAGGATAAGCAAGTACAGCTTCTCCCGGCCTCATTTTCCCCAGCTGATGCCAGGAAAATGTTCCCTTAACACACTCAACTGAGGGGTTAAGGCAACGTCCTAGACCTGAAATTCAAACCCCTCATTTCCCGCACAGACAGACCAGGCTAACCCCAAGAGACACAGCTGACCCAAGGCAACTTCCCAGACCTTAAATTCACAACTTTCTTGACCTTAAATGCTGGAGGCTGCAAAGGAGAAAGGAAGCGTGGAAAAAACACTAGTCGTACCAGCCCACTCCCTGCCCCAGCTCGCTACAGGAGACTGCGCAAAACACACCCACGGTTTGAACCATCGTCTGGCCAGTCTTGTTTCGGGGGGGGGGGCTACAGCAAGAGGAGACGGACGGTGGGTTTGGCTACGAACTGGAGGAGAAAGGGGCAAGGGCCGTCAGGTTCAGTCTCAATGCCAGGGACTTACAGGACAGGGGGACACAGGGAGATCAGTGGGTAGATCAATGTAAGGATACAGGTAAGTCACAGAGGTAGATCCGTGGTACAGGTGCAGGTAGACATACGGATATAGGTGGGTACAAACGATGCAGGGCTCGAGGCAGGCGGACAGACCGCGACACAGGTGGACAGACGGGTCCGGGCAGGTCGCGGCACAGGCTGAGCTGAGCCCCGCACACAAAGGCGGCCACTGCCGCTGCCAGCGCCCCC